AAGCAACAAGAACTGATGATTCGGAATGACGAACAAAACTGTAACTGCAGTTGGAGCTTGTTTCATGCCAGTCAGTCTGACCCACGGGGATTCTGGGTTAGGGGAGGTCCTCTGAGGGAGTGATTGAGTTAAAGTTTTACATCGCATCGGCAATATTGCAGCCATATCGCGATGAGAACCAAGTTACCTATCGTCAAATACCTGTCGACAAAGGACAGTAAGACAGAGAGGTTATTAATCACAAATTAAATATAAACAAACTAGTGAATTGTTTGATAGGCATTACTTAGAAGTTGACGGATGACAAAATGGACACGTTGTTATCCATAAATTGTGTCTACTTTGAAAACAAACCAGGTCAAATTTAAACAAAATATTACTCAATAGGTTAATTAGATATATTAAACCCAGCCTATAGACCCCCAGCATCCAAAGCTAGACCACCTTACTGAGGATCATGGGGAGTTACAGGTCCTAAGAAGACTATGCTGGTCGTCAAAGGCAACCAAATCCATCGGGTGGTCAGACTCTGTGACATGGTTGATGGCGAGTCATCATACCCAGGCGGCATGGATTGTTCTTCACAATATCGATCATTGTCTGGCCCAGACTTGACTATTTACAGACCGCCGTCATACGGCTGGAACATTGCAACAAGCAAACATCATGCCAGTGCATGACATTCCAGATCTATCTCCATGGTTACCAGTAGCTTTTAAATGGAGCCAGCGACAGACAAACAGAGGATGATAGAATGAATGACAAGGGGAGGTGAAATAGGGCTTTAAGTTGTGTTCCAGTTTTTGCACTTATATAGTGACATGCATGCATGTGCGTGTGGCTGCTTGTACTGGTCTGGAATGCTGATGCTGGCATTACAGTGCTAGCCCACTGAGATACCATGCCGCAGTTTAACATGAATACCCCACTCAGCATGCTCAGACACAGTATACTTAGTCTGAGACGACCAGTTCTTGTTTCATCCCTGTAAATAAAACGTTGAGCGCCAGCCAGAGTAAAAACAAGTACCATCTTTTAATGTTTTTTGGTATGACACGGCAAGGGATCGAGTCTCCGATCCCCTGGAAGATGCTCTCTCCACTAGACTACAGAGGTGATTGGAACATTAGGGCTATGTGACACTTGGTTGCTGTGTTGTCAGACATGAAAGTCAAGTCATCCTTGTCATAATCCTATTGTCAAATATTAAGAAATTAGGGGTCCCTAGATTCAAAAGCTATGGGAGAAACCTCAATTTGAACACTAGTGAAACGATAACATATCTCAATAGTAGGGTTAGAAAATAATATTGATTTCATGAGTTCACGGTAGATCTGTGTCATTCGATAAAACAGCTTGAGACCTCTTTATGCAGGCAGATATCATATTAACTATTGAAGTCCATGCCATTTTGTAAACATCCCCGATGCATAAAGTATGTATACTTGTATGGTTTTGCATCGATACATGTCCTGGTGCATCATAGAGGGTACAAGGATTGTGGCACATCATGTCCTGGTGCACTATATAGGGTACAAGGATTGTGGCACATCATGTCCTGGTGCATCATATAGGGTACAAGGATTGTGGCACATCATGTCCTGGTGCACTATATAGGGTACAAGGATTGTGGCACATCATGTCCTGGTGCATCATATAGGGTACAAGGATTGTGGCACATCATGTCCTGGTGTACCATATAGGGTACAAGGATTGTGGCACATCATGTCCTGGTGCACTATATAGGGTACAAGGATTGTGGCACATCATGTCCTGGTGCCTCATATAGGGTACAAGGATTGTGGCACATCATGTCCTGGTGCACTATATAGGGTACAAGGATGGTGGTACATCATGTCCTGGTGCATCATATAGGGTACAAGGATTGCGGCACATCATGTCCTGGTGTACCATATAGGGTACAAGGATTGTGGCACATCATGTCCTGGTGCATCATATAGGGTACAAGGATTGTGGCACATCATGTCCTGGTGCATCATATAGGGTACAAGGATTGTGGCACATCATGTCCTGGTGCACTATATAGGGTACAAGGATTGTGGCACATCATGTCCTGGTGCATCATATAGGGTACAAGGATTGTGGCACATCATGTCCTGGTGTACCATATAGGGTACAAGGATTGTGGTACATCATGTCCTGGTGCACTATATAGGGTACAAGGATTGTGGCACATCATGTCCTGGTGCATCATATAGGGTACAAGGATTGTGGCACATCATGTCCTGGTGCATCATATAGGGTACAAGGGTTGTGGCACATCATGTCCTGGTGCATGATATAGAGTACAAGGATTGTGGCACATCATGTCCTGGTGCATCATATAGAGTACAAGGATTGTGGCACATCGTGTCCTGGTGCTTCATATAGGGTACAAGGATTGTGGCACATCATGTCTTGGTGCATCATATAGGGTACAAGGACTGTGGCACATCATGTCCTGGTGCATCATATAGGGTACAAGGACTGTGGCTTGCTGCACCCTGTGAACAGTGATCTAGATGTCGTCATGACACAACATTAGCCAGGGTAACATTGCTACCTTGGTCCTTGTCTCAGAGAGGTCGTCATGACACAACATTAGCCAGGGTAACATTGCTACCTTGGTCCTTGTCTCAGAGAGGTCGTCATGACACAACATTAGCCAGGGTAACATTGCTACCTTGGTCCTTGTCTCAGAGAGGTCGTCATGACACAACATTAGCCAGGGTAACATTGTTACCTTGGTCCTTGTCTCAGAGAGATCGTCATGACACAACATTAGCCAGGGTAACATTGCTACCTTGGTCCTTGTCTCAGAGAGGTCGTACAACAAGCAGGAGATGCTGGCATTTGAACATTTACTGACCTGGTTACCTTGGTAACTGCTATCTTGATGGTAGGAATGAGAGAACCTGATTGAAATACATGCATTGATACATTTATCAACATACTAAATATTACAAATGTTGAATCAATATTGAGCTGTGCTCTTGTCCAAGTATTTAATTCCAAATGTTGAAATTTTAATTATGTTTCAATATTTTAGCTCAAGACAGTACAACCTACAGAAGTGCTTGGCATTCCCTACTACAAATCAAATATTCATCACCAACCAATTATCTGTGTTCAGAATTTGTCAATTTCAAGTCAAACTTAAAAAGTGTGAGTCTATATAATTGTATCATGTCCTTGAATGGCATTTAGAAGTGATACACAATAGGAGGATAATTAATGGTTGCCTACTTATTATGAGGAACAACATCTCCGAGTATATACTTCCCCCTTCATCCGATACAGAAGCTGACATTTATAAATTGCCTTCCTTATGTAATTGTAGCATTGTTTATTTTTGAACAATACTTATATATACCATTACCATCACTACCACAGTTTGAAATAAGCATTAAAGTCACAGTGACCTTGTCCATGTTGTTATAATATAAACCCTAATGTTAAAGTTACAAGTTTATTGGGTCTTTAGATTCAAATACTATAGGAGACCTCCCAGATACCAGCCCACTCCCATTTCAAACACTGTACACACAAACATAACTGATCGTTGGCTATCATACACAGCTCACATCAAGGCAGCCCTTAAAGCCCCACCTTGACTTTTAATGTCCTTGACCATAAAGGCCCTTAACACCATCTGAAGCCATGTTGACTTATCTAATATACATTCTCGGCATGACCTACATTAATTACAACAGAAGAGAAGGGGTAATCACGAGTAACAAAGAGAAGGGGTAATCACCAGTAATGAAGAGAAGGGGTAATGACGAGTAATGAAGAGAAGGGGTTATCACGGGTAATGAAGAGAAGGGATAATCACGAGTAATGAAGAGAAGGGGTAATCACGAGTAATGAAGAGAAGGGTTATCACGGGTAATGAAGACAAGGGGTAATCATGAGTAATGAAGAGAAGGGGTTATCACGGGTAATGAAGAGAAGGGGTAATGAAGTGAGTGAGTAAGTGATCGAGTTTGATTTTACGCCCCTTTTAGCAATATTCCAGCAATATCACGGCAGGGGACACTAGAAATGGGCTTCACACATTGTACCCATGTCGGGAATCGAACCCGGGTCCTGGCGTTATGAGCGAATGCTTTAACCGTTTGGCTACTCGACTGCCATGCTGAACAGTGGACAAGGGCACGTAGCTTGTGGTGACAGGTAATACAATGGTTTGTTGTTTTACGCCCACTCAGCAATATTCCATCTATCATGTCTATATGACGATGGCCTGTAAATAATCAAGTCTGGACCTGTCGAACTGGTGATTGACATCATGAGCATCGACCCATACAATTAGAATATGATGACATGCAAACAATTAGGCCTGACCACCCTCTTACTAAAAACATAGATTGCTGAAGACCATTTCTAATCGATTACAGGAACAGGTGAAAAGTGTACCTGCAGTATTGATTGGTACTATAGTGTTTACGATTAAAGTCAGGACGGTGACTGAAGTTTGCTCTCGATCTTTAGGTAAACTTTTACAACCATTAGTTGAGATAACAAAACTAAAGAATTTAACCCCTATAACAAAAACTTGGCCTAATGAATGACCTGAGACTCAGCACGGATTTTATCTCACAATTCTTGTATCCAGTTCAGTGTTTCACCTGGCTCTAGCTCTGACAAACAGCTATGGTACAAATATGAACAGACAGTCCATACTTGTAGTTTTCTCACATTTCACAGCATGTTGCGGTGTTTGTGCATCACTGGTCAAACATTGTCACGGACGGGTAGGTTGAACTTCAACCTTTGACACCTGACACTGTCTCTTGACAATGCATTAGGCCATCTGTGCGCTGATCCGGCATTTTGTCTGAGCATTTGCTAAACAACCACACTGCAAAAGCGCACATGCTTCGAGATATAAGCAGACAAATATATAGACACGTGATACATACAAATAAAATACTATCACACTTGTCTAATGGGGGTGCGACCATCCCACGAACTTGTGTACACAATGCTCAACTTACACATTCTGCTCAACGGGTAAATCCTCTGGTTTGCCATCCAAGCTGTCGGTGACGATTTGATGTTCGGCTACAGAAAATCCGAAGTAACTCCCGGCAGGTCCTCTCTTAATAACGGAGAATCTAGGGTCCAAGTTAAAGCCATTAGAAATCGCCAGTGCAGCGAAAATGTAGACACAAGGGCGCATAGCCCCGACATAAGCCGCCATGCTAAGAGTAATGAGGTCACTGTCGCAGTTGTCTCCCTTGATGCTCCGCTAGGCGGTTATGTTTGGGTTAGTCACACAGGTAGTGAGTGTCTCAACGACCCTCGCTCTGATTCGACAATCCCAGTATGGGTCTCGTGTCGCAATGTAGTTAATTGTTTTCTTGTGAGACACTAATTAACATCACCAGTTTGTTGTCGAAGTAAGCGATGCTGGTGTTAATCATCATGACGAAATAACCTATTTATGACAGTATATAAGCATGTATACATGTGCGTGTCATAATTATTTTTCTAAAATAGATAGTCAGAATTGTTTGTGTGACTGAGAGTGAAATCAACGAATCTCTGACGCGAGTGTCGTAACTAAATTTGGTATGGCAAACACGCGAACTTGATACTTTCTCTATTATTCACACTCTATGGTGAACTTTAATGGCGAGGACTTGCACAAGTCTATTAGGCAATATGTTTTAGTATAAATCATAATTACTAGATTATGTTACTAATAAGAACAAGTTGATCCTATAAAGACTGGCAATAGGCATTATTTTTAGTATAAATCATAATTACTAGATTATGTTACTAATAGGAACAAGTTGATCCTATGAAGACTGGCATCCTTTATTTAGACTTGCCTAATCTATCTATCTATCTATCTATCTATCTATCTATCTATCTATCTATCTATCTATCTATCTATCTATCTATCTATCTGGGGTACCATCCCTGAAAATGTGTAACTTATAGGAAATTCAACTTCTGAAGTTTGATATAAATCGCAAGATACCCCATGTTTAACATTGTACATCATTATAGGCAAATTGATAGTGCATGCCGATTATTTTGTTTCGTCTAAATGTTCACCTGTCTAAGAATTGTACATAAAAAATACTTGGCAGGTGAAAGGTTAATTACATAAATATCCGTAATGGCAACTACATAACTTTACCATGCGGTTCTGTGCTGAATGAATGGGCACCTGGCGCACCCGCGAATCGCACCATAAACAACTGAGGTATAACACCACACAGGGTAAAGATACTGGACTTATCACTACTCAAGGGTAATTGGCGGAATACCATGTATAGCTGCGATGACAATCAGAATAGACAGCTGTGTTGTTTTAGTTCCAGGCCGCCGGTGGGCAATTAACCAGGTGTCAAGTGATTAAACCTTGATTAGTCATTGATTTATTGTCTATATGGCTGCGACTTGTTACCAAGCATAGAAATTCTATCATATTCTGAAAATAAATCATATCAATACGAAAATAGAAATCTCTCGCTCCCTCTCTCTCTCTCTCACTCCCTCTCTCTCTCTCTCACTCACTCTCTCCATAACGATTACGTCTTGGTACGCGGGTGATTGACATTAGACACCACATCACATACTGTATGTTGAAAATATATAATTGTGTCGATTTAAATCGTTTCCTAAAACCCCGTGTTGCTCAGATTCCTAAATGAATAAGTTCAGGCTCAGTAACCAGCTGTTATCTTATCCGCTCTGTGGGTGTGCGTGTAAATGAAATAACGTACTTGTACATGATATGAACAAAATAAACATATATATATATGCTCTCTGAGAGAGATGTAAGTTCCAGTTGATCTCCAGAACGTGTGCACTGTACCGGGGGCGGGGTTGATTTCCTACAATACAGAATTAACCAAACACGTGGAGGCACACTCCCTGATGGACGATAGTACGGGGAACTGGGGCTTGGAATGGTATTATTATCCAATATAGGTCCCACAACATGAACAAGGCCATGTGGGGAATCGAACCCGGGTCTTCATCTCGTCACACTAACACTTTAACCACTATGTTACCCACTGCCCCGCGTGCACTTGTACGTGTATGCGATCAAGGATATCTCAGAACGATGAGGTAAATTGAGCGTTCATTGGCTGATTGACATATGAGGGGGCACGGGTGGCCCAGTCGTCTAAGGCGCCGCGATTCGCTGTGCAGAGTTGCGTCCCTTGGGCACGCCAGAAACCTATGCTTGTGGGTTCGAATCCCGGTTCACCCCGATTATGTTTCTAGGTTTGTCAGTACCGTACCCGTGCTCGTGGGTTTAACCGAAGTGGTAAACGTCTGAGACCTGCATCACTTCGGCCTTCCCTCCCACATTAAGCTGACACGCCGTGATATAACTGGAATACTGTTAAAAGCGGCGTTAAACACAACACGTACACTCACTCACTGATTGACATATGAGAGTTGACGTGAGGGCATCCTCGCGTATCCGGTGTATTAGATCCCCATTCAGTTATGATAAATACTGCAGAACAATTCACCACCATAGCTTCCTTTCGGAAGTGACATCACCGTTTGCACTCTGCTATGGCTAACTTTGTACAGAACTAGGCGCGATCGTGAGAGAGACATGATTGGACGGCTATTTTGAGTGTCTTGCCATTCGAATCAAAACACTTGCATTGCCCTTCCACATTATACACTTTCATACATCTTCCTAACGTCTTTCACATTTGGACAATATTTTATTTTCTGGAACAAAATTATCTCTCGTCAAACCATCTGAATGAGAATCAATTGTGGGCTACGATATGTTACAGAAGTTCTGTCATAAACAAATTATTTTGGAAGATAAATGTAGAAAAGTACGGATAAGACACACATTAAACCATTGTTATAACGACGTCACATAAAGGACGCCTGCGACGTCAAAAACAATGGATGACATCAAATTTAATTATTTACGCCACCGATACGTTGACACAGGCCGGTTCAAAACGCGTTATATAGCCCCAAAACGTAAAGAATAAAACTATTTAGTGAGACAATATTCTACATCCGTGTTTATCAGTGCAATATATACATATAATTTTTGTCAATCATTAAGCGCCAATATCAACGAATGCATGAAATTCTATTATAAAATCAGTTTGTGCGTTATAAATACCGATTTTGAGAATCGAACGTTTGTATTTCCCCATCTTCCCGAGGCAAGGGAGTTAACTGACTATAAAAGTCCATTTGTTGAACTATGCAATGACTCGTTAGTCCAGCCAAAATATAACTCCGGAATTCCAGCCTATTTCGGCAAGGGTGGAAACTGGAATTTAAAGTCAGATACGCCATTGCCTAGGTAAGATGGTATTTCCCAAGTGATAGGGATGAAAATGCATGAACCATAAGACACACATTTCGTGTGCTGAAGTCACATCAACTGCCCCACCCCCTCCCTGCTATGTTCTACGCGGTCTCCTGGGATACAAAAGTGGTCTTAAAATTGACTGGGTTCCTGTCTTTTACGTGAAAGCGCCAATAGTGGAACCAGTTTAGTTTATAAATACTACTACAGTTCAGAGTCCGAAATATATTTTTACATGACTCAAAGTAATAAAAGGAGATGAGAAGAAAGATATGAAATTATTGAATTAAGTAGTTATTTTGTGAATAAATTAATCCGAAATATATATAGATCCAATTGAACTATTTAGAAGACACACATTATAAAATGTTTTCGAAGTTGTAAAATTGTCGCTAGGAATATAGTATCGCACCATAACATACTTCCGGCTGTCTGCCAAAGGAAATCGACTACCACCCATTTCCACAACGTAGATGTGCAGTTGAGGGTTATCTCAAGAGCAGTTATGCTGTCCAATCTTGTCAAGCAGCACCAAACACGTCAGCAGTCCAGAAAAGAAATTCAAGGTTATGATTACGACGTATATTACCAGTCACTGGTTACAGCAATTCTCACCAGTTCACTGTTCAGTGTCCGCTTGAGTCTCGTTTGTCTGATTCTCACTCGTTTGTCTGATTCTCACTCTCATTCCGTCATGTGTGTCTGACTGCTTTGTACATACGTCGTCTTTGGTTAGACACAATGTCACTGAATTGTGTTATTGACGAAAACATTGGTGTGAATCATTGTCAGCACTTCGAATTACCAATCTAGGATAAAGCAGAAACGAAGAAACTCGCACAGTCCAACACAATTCGTTTCAGCACACAGTACAACATAGATCTATTCATGTTGTGACTATTGTCCTCAAGAGTTCGCAGTCCAGTGGTCGAAATTAAGCATGAAAGTCAAGGGGTACTTGTCTTCACCTTAATGTTAAAAGTTAAAAGTGCTGGATTAAAAAGTCATAGGAGCAGTCCTCAAGGACACTTTTTAATTTCTGTGTGCATGCATGTCGCTATATAAGTGCGGAAATCATGAATGTGATGTTTAACACCTTTTCACCTCTCGAGGTAAAAGGCGACTAACAGGATCAGGTGGTCAGGCTCACTGACATTGGTTGATGCATGTCATCCTATCCCAATTGCATGGGTCAAAGCTCATGATGTCAATCACTGGATTATCTGGTCCAGACTTGATTATTTACAGACCGCCCATATACCTGGAATATTGCTGAGAGAGGCATTAAACAACAAACAAACAATGAATGTGACCTTTGTCATGTGCACTAATGCTGATGTTTGAAGGCAGAGAGCCTGTAGGCCAGCACTGTTCAGCGATATTAATCTTGTCTGATTCTACCCATAATTCCAGTACAAAGGATCTGTGTTTTATATTTATTTAACATGTCTCTTGTGACTGTTTCTAGAAAGGAGAAAGAAGGATGCCATTGTAGCTGCAACTGCTCTGTCCCACGTTCTGGTCGATCATCTGAATGCAGGGTAAAACCAAATTATAAAAAATAAGTGAGTGAGTATGGTTTTACGCCGCTTTTAGCAATATTCAAGCAATATCACGGCGGTGGACACCAGAAATGGGCTTCACACATTGTACCCATGTCGGGAATCGAACCCGGATCTTCTGCGTGACGAGCGAACACTTTAACCACTAGGCTACCCGACCGCCCCTATAAAACATAAGAGGCCTAGATGTAGTGATGTATGTTTTACAAGATTTTTGTTGCATACAGTTCTCATTCTCATCTCAGGATAATTGTAAGGTTGATTATGGTATTTTAGTTTCAAAATTCACACTAGTCCGCTACCCATAAACCACTAAATTGTGCTGACAATTAAAGATCCATTGATGGCAGTATTCATTGACTAGTAGCTTATGAGGGCTATAATACTGACCCGGTTCTCAGTGCTTTAATTTTGCTACAAATTGGAACTGAATAATAGTACTGATGGAAAATGTAAACCTAGTAAACATTAGGGCTTGGACGGGTAACTCAGGTACTCGGGTCGGGTGTGTACTGAGAAGGACCCGGGTTCCTAATGAACTATCTGGACCTGTGGTTAGTCATGTGATATATTGTGTTTAATGACAAAAATGATCAAGATCAAATATGGTTACACTACAAGTCACTAATGTTCCCATTTCTTTCTGACTATGCACCCATTCCTTCTGATTTTTATATGTTTGAATAAAGATAAAACTTCAGTCAACTTCTGTATACGCATGACCAGATCGTTTTATACGTGTATCTAAATACATTTTGTCCAGAGCTACGGTCAAACTATTCCTAATAGGACATTTTGTACCTATCTATTACAGCTCGTAACCAGGTAGGGTCGGATAATTGGGGGGTGGGTACTTGGGAAGTAAATTTGGACTCGTCCCAGCCCTAGTAAACATTTTGTCTTGTTCAAGCAGGAGTAGCTACTAGTGAAATAAGTCCTCTGGACTAGTCTGAAAAGTAGACCGCCTCCGTGGTCTTGTGGTAGAGCGTCCGCCCTGAGAGCGGAAGGTCTGGGGTTCGATCCCCGGCTGCGTCATAAAAAAAGACGTTAAAAGATTGTACTTGTTACCCTGTCTGGCGTTCAGCATTAAGGGGCTAAAACAAGGACTGGTCGGCTCGGAGTCAGTATACTGTGTCTGAGTGGGGTATTTATGTTAAACTGCGGCATGGTATCTCAGTGAGCTAGCACTATAAATCGGCATCAGTCCAGACTAGTACAAGCAGCCACACACACACACACATATACGTGGATGCACGTCGCTATATAAGTGCAATAATCTTGGACGCGACGTTAAACCCAATTTCACCTCTCCTCACCTTTAAAAAGTATACATTTGTGAGATTAAGACTGGGAGCCTTGTGTGTTACTCCCTCCCTCATGTTGTAGTGTTGCTCAGGCATATGTAAACGAGAAGAAGCTGAATACAGAAACCAAGATCCTCCAAGAAAATGCTGCCCAGTTCTCCAAGCAGACCATGCAGTGGCTCAAACTGGTGGAAGATTTTAATACAGCTTTGAAAGTGAGTTGCTCAACACAGTAACGCCTCACAAACACTGTGCAGCTTGGGATTGTCAGGCGGAGTAGATCATTTTCATTGTTAAAATACCGTAACTTGGGAGTCTACCACCCCAAACTTGTCTCTCCCCATAATTTTATTAGATTTTATTGATCAGCGTTAGAAATTGGCACTAGTCCTGTAGTCCTTACCAAACTGCCCAATGGTAAAGGTATCCTAAGGACCAGTAGAAATTGGCCAGTTTTAAGGGATTTGCTATATGTTATCATTATAAGGACTAGTGGACAAAAACTGTTAGTTTCTAACCCTGTTGATAATATAGGAAGCAGCATGCCTTGACTTCTGTCGGGTTTGATGTCATACAATCAACCAAATCACTGAGTCTGCCAATCTGATCATCCATGTTGTGACTCCTTCTGACAAGCATTGGTTGCAGGGGCCTATCCTAACCAGGAATCCTCTCAATGTTACTCTCAGGAAGTGGTGTTGAATGATTTACTGTGAACACAATTTCTTAGGATGTTACGGATCAGTTTGATATTTCAGGAAATTGGCGATGTTGAAAACTGGGCCAAGAGCATTGAGACAGATATGAGGACGATATCCAGTGCACTGGAATATGCATACAGGAAAAGTAAGTGAAACTGATGCAGGGTTTTCCCATCATCATCACTTCCTGGGTATGTATGCACCAGAAAGTTTTATATGTGCATCTAAATATATTTTGCCAGGGCTACGGTCAAACTTTTCCGAATTGGACAGTTTGTACCTATCTCTTGAGACCTACAGCAGGTACCCAGGTGGGGTACGGTTAATATGGGTGTGGGTACCCGGGTAGTAAATTTGGACTCCCAGCCCTTGTGTGGTACGACCTGAGAGCTCATTGGTCAGAGGACTTGCTTTTCTTTCACCTGTAGTATATCAACTCTTCATAGTAAAATCACACGTCTAGAATTAACCTTTAGTTTATTCCACCAGTCAGAAGCTCCGACGTTCATACAGTTGGCTCTCACTCTATGAAGGTACATACGTCAATGAACTCACACAGATTGAAAGTCTATTCTTAATGGTTAAATTCAATGAAGCACTGAAAATGTGCTGGTTGCTAGTCAAAGGGAGATAATTCAATTTCAATCTCACCTAAAAATACCAGTAATCATTTTCAAATCATGTCATATTTCTTTCACAATACAGTTTTATTTATAACAAATGTGATGTGTTTGTCGGATGTCCTGATTTTGAAGAGGTTTGTATTAACTTTTATTCAGCTGTAGACGGATGCCATAAGGAACTACTCCCTTCTCTTGAGTAGGACATTACACATGGTTTTGGAGTGATCCCAACTATTTGTCTGTGGCCTCAATATAACCTACAGATCACAACTGTTAATCTGTGTAACATACATGCTGTTTTCTTCTTCAGGTGAATAGAGGACTGACGCGAGTGCTGTTTCTGTGAAATCAAACATTTTGGATAATACTCCACATTCCTGCCACTTGCGAGATGAGAGATGTGGACAGCCTGTTTACTGTACCAACAACAAGACTCCTGGACAAGCCAGGCTCCATCATATCCTTTGTCGTGATGTCATTCTTAAACGTTAGTAACAAACAAATTTAGAGGGAATTTATTTTAATTAAATATGAAATTTCATTGGGAAAATGTCAAATGTTAAATGCTACCCCTTGTAGTGTCTTGTATGCCAGGCCAGACCGCTTAAAGTATATCTGAGGGGCATGCATTGCACAATATATATATATATTATATACGTTTCCTGTGTCCCATAGTCTTGGTAATAACCTACGTTTGTCAGCACCCAATCTCATTAAAATCAGATCTTAGTTCTCGTTACCGCTAAACAAAGATCTGAGAACACAGCATTACGGGTCACGTCAGACTGACCTTGTGTGAACTTTGACTGACCAATGGAATGACTGACAAGAAGTCGACATTAGCCAATCAGAAAGCAGCTTTCTCATGCTTTACGGCACTAATTTCAAATTGGCAGCTACGATTCAAAACATATTTTGACAAATTCTCGATTAATAATTTGAAACCCGAACAAAACTACCTTCTGGAATGGCTAATAGATGGTCTAGATTGTATGGATTCAGTCGTTAAGCCTGTAACTATCGTTCGGAATACGCTGTGTTAAAGTTTTTGAGGTTGCTTGATTAGAAATCACATTCCAACTGTCACTTTCATGATCTGGTAAGCGACGCTCTGATTGGTTGGATGAAAGGTCGTTCTGACGTGACCCCTAATGGGATGTCCTCAGATCTTTGTTTAACGGTAGTGAGAACTAAGATCTGATTTTAATGAGATCGGTCAGCACCATACCATCCTTGATTATCAAAGGTAGTATGTCTTCATTTTGTTTGGATAATTACCCTGGACTCATTCTCCTCCACAGCTTCGGTGCCACCTCCACCTCTCCCTTCTCTTAATGTTGCACAGACTTTTTCTTGCTCAACATTTGATTGGACGGGTATGTTTAGGGTTGTGCTATTCAGTTGGGTATTTTAACAAAGCTATAGTGGGGAATAAGTCCAGGGTAGTTATCAAATAAAGTGGAGACATAGTACCCTGGATAATCGAGGATGGAACCAAATACATCCTCGTCAAAGTCGCGTCTAATCTGGCATCACTTTGGCCTTTCATTCCACATAAAACCAACAGTGAAATACTGTTCAAAGCTGCATTAAACCAAACTCTCCTACTCCCTAAAAGAAATTGTTTTATGTGCTAGCCTGCTCTCAAGTTTTAATATGATACTGTTTAATAAGATCGTTAACTTATACAAAAGCGCAAATTAATTGTGAGGACTTGTGCAGTGACATTCAATCTTGTATAATAATATGCTTTTGTCAATAACATGTTGCATATGCTGGAACTACAGGTATAGTCCGAAGGCCAGGTCAATAACATGTTGCATATGCTGGAACTACAGGTATAGTCCGAAGGCCAGGTCAATAACATGTTGCATATGCTGGAACTACAGGTATAGTCCGAAGGCCAGGTCAATAACATGTTGCATATGCTGGAACTACAGGTATAGTCCGAAGGCCAGGTCAATAACATGTTGCATATGCTGGAACTACAGGTATAGTCCGAAGGCCAGGTCAAGTAACATTTCTGTCTGGAAAATGATGCCAATAGAAGCGTTTGGGATTGTAGACTCAAAAGGCCTTTTGCACAGACTGATATTTTGCAATACTACCTGCTATATACTGTTTGTGATCAAGTGTTCAACCTTATAATGTGTCATTGCTGTGGTGTATTACAATTATAATTATCAGCATCAGTACATACTCCTAATTATTTCATTATGGGAGTACTGGCAAGACTAAAGAGTACACTTAGAGTACTGAATGAAATTTAATGGATTAATCTTGTTTTTCATTTTAGATATGCACCACAGCACCGATCACTATACATGCAATTTTGCCGAAATTAATGTTAACAATATTGAATGAAATTTTGAATAAAATTATTAAAACAGATTAGAAACTTAAGTCCAGATATACAATGAATACTTTTTGTAACCAGGCAGTGTGATTACAGGATTATTTTGCCAACTTCAGGACGGATTTGTTGACGTGGTATTCCCAGTGTTACACGCCCACAGTAATGTCTTTTGTGTTAGGGGAAAAAAACATCAAAACTCAATATGGAGTGCTTAATGTGCACCGCACTCCACACAGCTGTGTTTTTTTCTAAAAAAAAGTGTGTGCACTATATTCAAGAAAATACGCTGCTTGAAATCAGAATATAGTTTTTGGGAAATACGTCTTTAAATGAATGTTAGCCTGTACATCTATGGTGTGATGCATATCTGATACCTTTTTTAAATACAACCCCCCCACCATATCGAGCATATTTTCATACGTACACAGAGCTCCAGATAACTTTTTGAGCAATTGAGTTTTTAATCTAGGGTTTCTATTTTAATTTGGTTATTACATTTTTCATTGGGTAACCAATATTTTTTCACTCATCTATTCATAACGCTATTGGTTTTTTCCTCAAAAGACTACATTTTAAGATTTGATAAAAAACGAAATAATGTTTTAGATGTATATAACCATGATAACTGTTTTAAATATATTGGCTCGACTCGGAAAGTAAATTATCTCGTAATTGTGTTTTGGAAATTAGCTCCTTTGTACGCATGCTGAAAAAGCATCATTGGGTATTTACACGTGCGAGTTTATCATTTAATGCATGCATTTCTGTACACAAGTTAATTGAAAGTAATTGGGTTTTGAATATTTTACGCAAATGTGCTGCTTATCTGTAGCTCTGTGTACATACGCTGATACAGCCTTTATCTGGAGCTCTAATTACAGTCTTGTTTAGCACTGTATATATTGAAGTATCGGTCAATCATGGTTCTGTCTGTATAGCATGGTGAGATACTGACATGAGATTATCCCATCATATACATGTATAAGGGCATGTTATTTGAGATTAAGATTAATTGTAACAATATATACTACACAGGGAGCTTAGAATGAATTTGAGTGCATACTGATTCATTGACTGGGGTAATAATAATGTGAAGCATTCTCTTTGTGAATCAAATGGTGCATTATACATGGACTAATGTCTAGTAAAAATACTATTTTCTGACAACATGCTCAATGGTTGTCAAGACTGGTTTGAGACCTGATAGTATTAGTAAGAAAATACTATAAGCAGCAAGCCATTGTATCATCTCTTCCAGGAATGGTAGACTGCAAAATAGAAATATATCTTACCGGTAACATTCAAAAACTTTATTTTTAATGAGAGAATAACCATAAGCATATGAAAAGAAATCGGGTGTTAGATCATCTACCCTTATTCCAAAAGACAGTGTTTACATGTGACATAGGGTCCCCGACTCGACCCTTGCATCCCGCTTCAGTGATAATTTATTAATATTGATGTTGTGGCGATATGGAACTAGTTGGAAGATCAATTTGTGTATGTGATATGTCTTAAAATTTGTAAATAAATATATGAGAAGTATGTTGTCATGTTTCATGCGAGTTGTTTGTTTGAGATGCACATGTATTACAAATGAGCCAAGAACACTACACAGGAAACAGCCTTTTGAGACAGAGACTGAAACATCAAATCGGCGGTATTACAGCATTTACACCGATGATTATACAAGAAGTTTTTCAGATGTGGATGTTATTGAGCATCTGCATTGCTGAAAGATTCCCTCAACTTCACTTCAGTAATGTCGGTGATTAAAGTGAGTGAGTGAATGTTGTTTTCGAGACAGTGACCAATATTCCAGCTGTATCCCAGCATTACACAACATCAAGTCGGGGGAAGAAATCCAGTGGTTGACACCCAATCAACCAGGTCACCAAGTCCCACCACCTGACCCATTGGTTGCCCATGAAGATCTGGGAAAGAATTGGTCTTCAGCAAGCCATGCTTGTTGTAAAAGGCGACTTAACAGGATCAGGTTGATGCATGTCGTTGTATCCCAATTGCGTAGATTGATGCTCATGATTTCAATCACTGGATTGTCTGGTCCAGACGAGATTATTTACAGTTCACTGTCATATAGCAGGAATATTGCTGAGTCCGGCGTTTAACAACAAAACAAAACAAAAATCTTTCCCAGTAGTCATCTTACAATGTGAGATCTAACATGGATCTTGACACAGCCAAGGGACACAGATCGCCACACTCAATGCCCCTTACACGGGGCCCTTGTTGAGATAAATAAATAAAGTTGAACCTTGTTAAGTTATCTGGGGTCCAAGGTCACCAACAAAGGGAAATTCCTGAAACCAAACTCAAGTTTTGAGAGATTACATGTTATTTTGACTTAGTTTCATATGACGATTAATAGATAATAATAGACTTGAATAATAGATTCACTAACACAATCGACCAGTGAAGATATGGGGTAGAACAGATCTTCAGCCTGCTGAAAAAGGCGACTTTGCTTGCCGTAAGAGGCGACTAACGGGATCGGATGGTCAGGCTCGCTGACTTGGTTGATGCATGTCCCAATTGCGTGGATGGATGCTCATGATGTCAATCACTGGATTGTCTGGTCCAGACTCGAATATTTACTGACCGCCGTCATATACCTGGAATATTGCTGAGTGCGGCGTTATACAACAGACAGACAGACCAACACAATCATGATCCGTACTGTGTTGGAGTCATCAGGGCAGTGTTATTCTTAATTTGGATACTTGGGACTCCTTAATGAGTTCGAGAAAACCAGGAATTTGACTCACTCAGTTCAACAGATCGGAGTATAAATGATGATAGATACAGAAGGAACTTGCCTGGACTGGAAGGTGAGTTCGAGACAACTGGAAATTCAACACATCCAAGTTCAACACGAGGTGTGACACAATAACCTTTTGGGAAAGAACATTGCAGCAGATCATGCAAGGGAAGCAACTCTTCCCAGCTAAGTGTGGCATCTGTTCCCAGCCAGGATACATAAACATTCTAGATATGACAACAGAAAACATAGGTTGCAAAAATGTTTTATTTCTTCTCAATTCATGATTGACAGTTTGTGTCTTGGATGGTTTTAATGAATGAGGACCAACATGACTTTGCAACAGAACAAAGATTGAAACCACTTTTCTCTGGCAACATGAATTCTGGAGCTTTCAATGTGTTAACTACAAGACAGACTGACATACAGTAGGACAACGTACTCGATAGCTGAAATATCTATCCTACATATTGGACTACTTTTGACAATATCTTTATAACAAAACCAAATCTCATCATTCAAATAACAAAATGAACATTGATATGATAATCATATATCAAGCAGAAAACATGAGTTTATATTACGTATGTATGTCTTCTTGCACATTTAGCTGGTTTGGATATTTCCCCCTCCCCTCCCCTCCCGTCATGTACCTATGCTTCACCATTTCCACTTCATATTTTGTAAATGTTCTTTGTTTCTTGTTTAACGCCACACTCAGCAATATTCCAGCTATATGACAGCAGTCTGTAAATAATCAAGTCTGTACTAGACAATCCAGTGATTGACATCATGAGCTTCGACCCTTGCAATTGGGATACGATGACATGCATCAACCAAGTCAGCAAGCCTGACCACCCGATCCCGTTAGCATAGTCACCTTTTACGGCAAGCATAGTTGCCTTTCAGGACAAGCATGGGTTGCTGAAGGACACTACGTTGGACATGGGAATCTTTTGCCTCGTATCTCATAGATTTATCAGTTTGCATTGTTTCCATGGTTACAGGATGTAACGCTACATTGACCAATAAACTACCTGTACCTGGACAGAAGTAACACTGAATTGGTCCGTAAGGGTGCACTGAAAACAAGCAACATGTTGAAACCCATTGTTTTCGCCACACTGACATTTTCACATATATGTTATCAGTTGGCATGAAACATGAGTAAGTTTAAAAGGAAGAGAATTTATGGATGTCAACTTCTTTATTATTTAGAGGATAACCATTTTTCAGTGTATATATACTTACTTCTTCATCAGGCTAATAAATGCCATCAAGCATTTTTTCACCTTATGATGAGTATACTCCGAATCTGTTTCTCATATAAAAGATGACATCCATAACTTCTCTTCCCGATGTGTTTCTAAAATGCCATTCAAAGACTTGATGAGTAAGTTTCTTGTCTGAGTCAACTCCTGGTATCTCACAGTCAATGAAGCCACAGTAGACCCAGGTGATCAACAAGCAAGCCATTACAAAATCTTTACAACTTGTTCATTAAGAACACCCTCTTTCCAACATTAGCTACCTAGGAGGCGACTCCCTGATGATCAGTGTCCAGAGACCCACAGTTTTCCTGTATTGTACACTGTTGACACTGTGGGAAGAAATATCAGGAAATGCAGTTTGTGTTTATCAATTTCAAAATACACATCAAGGAAAATGTTGGTAACTATGGCAACAAGATGCTAAACCATACTGGGGATATACATTTAAATGAGATGAAGAATATTTTTCTGTTGAAGAACTGAGTTAATTGTACAAAAATGATCTTTGAAGACTGAGCTGGACGAAGGGGAGATACTGTAAATCTTGAAATAAATGCGTCTCCAAATATATACGACTGCTGACCCTACTCTAAAAATGCGACTCAAGATCAATGTGACTCCCCCCACCCCATCCTCGTTGGAATGATACATATCCTTACCTGAATCCAATCAAACAGCAGATGGTACCACTTATTAGCACTGAGTAAAACACTTCTGTAATAACAATAAACTGAATTTTCTAAAAACAACAAGCAGTTTATATGTTTATTCTGCTGACTGGCATTAAGGATGTTCAAAGGCAATAATAAAAAAACTAATAAAAAAACTGAACCAACAACAGTTCACTGATTGGAGTGGTCGATGACTGGAGTGGTCGATGACTGGAGTGGTCAATGATGCCTAGTTTGAAACTCTTGACCCGAGCAGTGGCAACTCATCGGATGTCTATTGTGCAATTCCTATTCTTTAATTGACATGTTAATTGTTATGTACTTGTTACAACTGCTGCTCAATAAACCGTGTTTGTGAATATATTCAAGTTGGTATTTCAGCTATCAAAAGTGTGCTGTGTGCTGTCTTATTGTTGATAGTCATTTTGGAGACATAAATGCGAAGTTTCATAAATGTGAACAAAGACCACTCACATTTTTCGCATTTAATTCATGCTCGCATTAATTTCAAGATTTACAGTAACCATTTACCATGTATTATATTTTTGAGTGAGTTTGGTATGACACGGCTTTGAACAGTATTTCAGTTATATCACGGCGTGATGTGGGAGGAAAGCCTGAAGTGATGTATGTCTCGGGCGTCTACCACTTTAGGAAACCCATGAGCACGCAACTCTGCACAGTGCCTTAGACAACTGGGCCACCAGTGTCCCGCTTCTAGTTTTGAGATCACAGGAGTTGGTAGTATCATATTTAGCCAATCTCATTAAAATCATATCTTCATCTGATGTAACCTCTTATGGAGGGTTTAAAAGATGTTAATGGAGAGGAATCGGAGTAAAGGAACTGATTTTAATGACATTGCATACTTAGTTGTCTAACCAATGAAGCACCCTGGTAATTGTTAACAATGTTATGTCTGTGCAGGTCACAGTTAAACATTGATATACATGCCATATATATCTACAGTTACTATGTTTAAGAAATGCTAGCCTGTGAAATAATAAAATTATTTCTTAAACTGATATGCCTCTTAATTCACAGCATTAAAGTCATAACCCCACTTCGTAGTAAAAGACATACTACCAAGTAGCAGAACACACGTAGTTGTGCTTTGACTCATCTTTACAAGACCTGCATTATTAATTTCGTTCATTTCATTTCTGAGTTCTTTCAACAGATCATTTATTGATTTTTAAATGTTATTCTCATTTCAACTTGGACCAAAAGGTTGTATATTTTTTCAACTCAATAATCAAGAAATAAACAAGGTCATGAGACTTATCAGCTTGTAACTTTGATTGTCATTATCCAAACCCTTATTGTAATAATCCAAATTCTATTTGTCCTAATCCTATCTTGACCGTTTCCCTTCAGCAGCGACTGGTTGTCATGACGCCGCTTCCAGTGCCCTCAGCTCCTCTTCAAGTATTTCTTTCCTTGTCAGCTTCTCTTTCTGTTCTGGACTCAGCTCCGTGCCACCTTTGGCCTTGACCTCAAGCTCTTGGATTTGTTTCAGCTTCTTCTTCAGGTTCCTGATCTTCTTCACTGTGTCTGTAGCAGTACTGGACTGTTCTGTCGCAGGCGCTGACTCCACTTGGACCTTATTGTCTTGTTGTCCGGTTTTCGTTGTGGACTTCTCTGATATTTTGCTAGGTTTGGAACTGGATTTAGAGTCTTTCTCTTTCGGTATTTCAGCTGAGTTGGAGGGAGAACTTGGAGCAATATGAATGTCTTCTACACAGTTCAAAACTTCATCAACTTTCTGCTGTTCCAACATTTTTTTTCGTTCTCGTTTTTTGGCATTTTTCTTGGCTGCTTTGGACATTGGAGCTTGAGGCAGTTCGCCATCCTTGGCATGCTGATGCTTCTCCACATCATCTGGGCACAAGCCTATTGGATGGTCTGGGCGACTCTTCATCCACTGGACCCCCTTGTTCTCATACCTACAACATAATCCAAGGTTGTAATGTGTGCAAAATATAGAGAAAGTCCCATCCAAAATAGGCGATGATTGCCGAGCAATGATATGACATTCTTGGAAATCAAATGAAGCCAGCCATATGTCGCCAACCTGTTATCCATATGTCCATGCCTTGACCCCCAAATCATAACCCAGAATTCTCTGGACTTGAAAATAGATATACCCACTTAAATCCTTGAAAACATTGGCATGATTAACCTTCATGTGTGTTGGTGTGGATGTGTATGTGTGTGTGTGTGCTTGTAGATGTGTATGTGTGCATGCAAGGTGTGTGTGTGTGAATGTGTTCATGGTGTGTGTTGGTGTGGATGTGTGTGTGTATGTGTGTGCATTGTGTGTGTTGGTGTGGATGTGTATGTGTGTGTGTGTGCTTGTGGATGTGTATGTGTGCATGCAAGGTGTGTGTGTGTGAATGTGTTCATGGTGTGTGTTGGTGTGTCTGTGTGTGTGTCTGTGTGTGTGGGTATGGATGTGTATGTGTATGTGTGTGTGCTTGTGGATGTGTATGTGTGCATGCAAGGTGTGTGTGTGTGAATGTGTTCATGGTGTGTGTTGGTGTGTCTGTGTGTGTGTCTGTGTGTGGGTATGGATGTGTATGTGTATGTGTGTGCATTGTGTGCGTTGGTGTGGATGTGTATGTGTCTCTGTGTGCATGTGCATGTGGCTGCTTGTACTTGTTAAGACTAATGCAGGGTTGATAGTGCTAGCCCACTGAGAAACGATGCTGCAGTTTAACTAAGATACACTATTCAGACAGTTTACAAACTCCGAGCTGACCAGTCCTTGTTTTAGCCCCTTAATGCTGAGTGCCAGGCACTGTAACACCAAGTTCAATCTTTTTCACTCTCTTTTAGAATGAGGCTGGGACCTGAACCAGATTGATGTTTTATCCTCTGGACAATGGAAGAGGTATCGAGCAATATTGTTTGTTTGTTGTTTAACGCCGCACTCAGCATTATTACAGCTGTATGACAGCGGTCTGTAAATAATCAAGTCTGGACCAGACAATCCAGTGATTGACATTATGAGCATCAATCTATACAGCTGGGATACGACAATCTCATTAAAATCAGATCTTAGTTCTCACTGCCTGACCACCCAATCCTTATCTAGCAGTAGATGACACAAACACTGATACAGTGGCTGGACCAACTCACACTGGTACTTCCTCCTGCGGAACATATCCTTCCTTCACTCTCCTGGGCTTCCTCCAGGATCCATCAGGTCGTCGACTCCCAGGGATCAACAACTCTCCTGGAACCACAAACACACAAACCAGGGGGTTACAAGTGAAAGGGACATTCTTTCATCAAGTTTATCTTGAGAGAAAGACAACATATGAATAATATTAAGATTGATTCCATGACAATGAATGGTTTTTCAACAGTTTATTTTCCAACACTGCCAGTACTCGCAGACAGTTACTAGTACACGGTCTACTCATGTCACGGTAAGACCTGTCAGCAAATACTCTTGTTTCTTAGACTATTTAAAAACCGACTGGACAGGTGAGGTGGTGAGGTCATAAATAAAATCCATGTCACGCCAGGTCTTGAGATATAATTTAAATTTTGCAAACCAAACAAAGAACAAAAAGGCAATATGGCATGGGTTGTTATTGACAACATACTTGACCATTACCCTTCACATATACCACTAAAAAGAAGTTTAGGACAAATCGATTCTTTCATATTACTATAGTTAATATGTCATAGCATGACCCAGTTCTCTGATATTACTGTAGTTGGGTTAGAGCAAAATGGCACTGAATGAAAACAGCACACATTAACAAAAAAGGAAGCGAAAATGGCTGCTTTAGCCAGGCGAAAACGGCACGATATTTTTTCACCTTGGTCTGTTTTCATGAACAAGAAAAAGTAAAGATATTATACTCACATGTTCACTTGCAACAACAAATAATTGTGAAATGTTAATCGCCTGTTAAAACATTTTTATATTAGAAATTACCCTCTACTCCAGTTTACTTGCTGACTCTGACTGGGAGGTACAACTAAACTTATTGTGAAAACATCACATGCTTTGAAGTTTTAAGTACCTTTATTTGTGGCATGAATCTTTCTCTAGCTCAGTATAGGGAAATTAACAGGGAATGAAGAAGACTTCTCCTCGGCCTTCCATTGTGCAATATGTGTAGGCCCCATTACAGAAGAGGTGATTGATTACATGAACTTTGACATAAGATTATGATCAGAAGCCACAGGAGAAAACTGGACAGATGAACACTTCATCATCAGCCTCAGATTATGAAAATGACTATGACAGGTAACTATTTTATTTCAGAGTATTTGCTACAAAAAATATAGTACCGTAGCTACTTGCAACATAAAGAAGAAAACTGTAAAAGTAAAGACTCGTAACATAAATCTTATGGTATTTGTTTTTTCGTTCATGGACCAGTGTTGTAAAACACTGTGGAATGTGTCAATCTATGAGACATTGACAGATGATAGAAAAAATAAATTAATATCACCAAGGAATAAAGAGTATATACAACTGCATAAATCGTTCTCATCATTATTGTGTGCCGTTTTCGCTTGAAAATCAGTAACCATTTTGCTGCAGTGCCGTTTTCGCTATAACCCCACTATAAAATCATCACAGAATAGGGTGATGTCATGACAGATTAACTATATTAATATGAAAGAATGGGGTGTCCTTAACTTTGTTTGATAAAGCCTGTGATGCCATGTACACATCTTCACAAACGATAACAACGTCATAGAGTGTACGTGTACGACTTCTGACCATCAACAATACCACAAACATAACAATATTTCAGAATATCGTCTAGCAAACAAAAGGAAGCAGAGGTGCCTTTCTGATTTCACTTTCCAACTTTCCAACAGAAAAAAAATCTTGACATGTGCTAGTATGGCTTCGACTGTTCTCACTCCAAATATGCTGCCAATAAACAGCTGATGATGCCATTCACACTAGTTATCTTTAAGAAAGGTTTTGTGTACAATGTATCACACAATAAATCTCTTTGTAAATGCTAAAAGTCGAAATAACCTGTTTGTTCATCACGAACAACCCCAGAACGCTCAGACACAGCCATATTGTATTGACTTAGGGGAAATAACCCGTCGATAACGTTTTATGCAGACCGCAAGAAAGGGTTGATATTACTTGGTTCACTTTTCTTTTACGAAAAAAAACCCCTTTGAACTATTACAAACTGAACCACTCTACTACTACTACTACTACTACTACTACTACTACTACTACTACTACTACTACTTTCTACTACAGCTATCCCGTGTTATCCCGAGGGAGTCATGCTGGGTCTCCCTGGTCAGTATCTAATTATAGGCCTCCAATAATCTATCTTTCCACTGGATAGGGTGCATGGTCCGGCTCGGCGGATTGGGTGTCATCGTACCCGACGGCGTTATACGTTGTTCATACCATCAATCACTGGGTTGTCTGGTCCACATTCGATTATTTACAGCTCATCTCTATATAGATGCAATGTTCCAGAGAGCGGTTTATTAGGTAAGGTGATATAGAGGTTAACGTTTGTAGCGACCAGAACTGGGATACGACCAGAACTGGGATAAACACCGTAGAGAATTATATCTGTGGCATGCAACTATGTGTTTAATTGACAAACATTTAATAAGAGCAAAATCATCTGTACTTCTTGTGTTTTGTATTTTTACTCCGTTCTGCAAAGTGCGCCAATGGCAATGCTACTGACTCGATGTCCGACATTTGCAGCTAAATATAGCAGCGTATAAAAGTGGTAATGCGGAACTAAAGCGGAATACAATATCGCTCATGACAAAATGCAATTCCTGTAAATATGGTCGTGTTGCTTATTATCTGTAATTACTGCCCATTGCCATGTTTAATTTCTAACCATGATATCACTCCCAAATGTATTATTTAATTGTCTATCATATCATAACCTTTGTGAGGTGGTGACATGTTTAATAACAGAGTAAATTTTCTGTTAAATAGCTATCTTGGCCACTTCTGAACACAGTGTTTCCTACAAAAATGCAAAAGCCAAATGAAAATAAAATTATTCTCTAATTTATGTATTTTAAAGTTGTTATGCCACTCATTGGTGGGGATACAAGCGTAATAATTCAAGTTCCTAGGATGTTTGTGTTATGCAATTTTGCAAGAGTTATGAGAGTTCGACATATTTCTTCTCATACACAGTAAAACAGCAGGTAAATGTCTAGGAATAAATACTCATGACATTGTACAATAGGCCATGATGTTCACAAAATATATGTGGGAGGGTATGTACATCAATATAATAATATTAATTATTTTGAATATAACTAAGTGTGTCATTTAACATCAAACAATGAATACTCAACATGTCAGAGTTGAAAGGGGTACAGTTAAATTTGTACTGTTCAAGGGATTTCTAAGCCCCATCACCTCACAGCCCTCTGGCAACTGATGTGTGTATTTTTGTTTGTATTCTCAAGTCCCAAAGTCATTTTTTGTAAATATTACTATCATTATCATGTTAGATTTTAGTGGTAACAATTATTCAAAATCACTCCATTTGATTATTGTGTACATGATGATAAAAGCAACTATTTTCTTATATTAATGGTGGAGGTACATGTAACTGCTTCCAGGCATAGCAGATGCAGGATGTGAGAAAGTTTGTGCTTCATCTTAGAAGTCTAACTTAAAAAATAAAAGAAACTAATTACATATAGAAATATTAGAGTAGAAATTGTTGAAAAAGATTTCTCTTGTTAAAAAAAGATTTCTTTAATGTTCCTTTGATTCACCCACAACACTATTCTTTTTCTCATTGTTTTAAAGGAAAAAATACATATGTAATAACCGGTATGATAAAATCTCCTTCCTGGTCAGTATTAAAATAACTGGGAAACTCATTGAACCATTCCTGGTAGCTTATTGACATATATACGTTGAAGCTTTCAAAACCGTTTTGCCAGCAAAATGCCCTCATATTTCTGGGGAGACCATATGGAATCTAAATGATATTATTTAATATGATTGAAATATTTAGAAAGGTTTCAAAATTACCAACTTAAGACAGATAACATATATTTAATAAACCCATTACTAATAGAGAACTGAACTTGTTATCTCATGCTCTGTCATCATTGACATTAAAATTTGCAAGACAAAGCAACAGTAAGAGTTATCCTCCCTTTACAACTTGATCAAAATGGTCGTCTGGTCCTTGCTGTTGAAGGCCAAGTGGCTGAAGTTTCTAAGATAATATTTCTTTGAAAGACGAGAATGTGTAGGTAAGTCATTATACCTTTACTTTTTACCTTTTTTCTGTGGTTTCTATCAAGGCAGATACAGACCTAGCACAATGTCATACATTGTGCAGTCAGTCCCTCCATGATGATCAGTTAGCCTATTACAGCTGTGAAGGGGACGAAGCTTTTTTTAAAACTATGTAGTTTCATATTCAAAGCTTATTGTCAAAGTACATGTTTCTCAAAGGTTGTAAATGTGATTGACAATGTTCAGAAAACAAAACTCTCAAGATTCCTTTCATTCTTGAAAGCATAACATTTATGCCACTTCTGGTTGAGGGGATGTGAGTAATAATATAGTCAACAATCTCTTAACATTAGCAATATTGACCCATAGCATTCAGATTCTCCTCACAGGTTTGAAAGGTTATTTACTATCATCAGCCAAGAAGAAATCTTAATATTCCATTAATTGTAGATTTTAAAGGTGTTATCCCATTTCTGGTCAAGGTAATATGAATAATAATATAGTAAAAAAATCTCTTAAAATTAGAAATCTTGACTCAAAGTGTTCAGGCTTTGCTCACAGGTTTGAAATGTTATTTACTGTCATCAGCCAAGAAGAAATCTTAATATTCCATTAATTGTAGATTTTAAAGGTGTTATCCCATTTCTGGTCAAGGTTATATGAATAATAATATAGTAAAAAAATCTCTTAAAATTAGAAATCTTGACTCAAAGTGTTCAGGCTTTGCTCACAGGTTTGAAATGTTATTTACTGTCATCAGCCTAGAAGAAATCTTAATATTCCATTAATTGTAGATTTTAAAGGTGTTATCCCATTTCTGGTCAAGGTTATATGAATAATAATATAGTAAAAAAATCTCTTAAAATTAGAAATCTTGACTCAAAGTGTTCAGGCTTTGCTCACAGGTTTGAAATGTTATTTACTGTCATCAGCCAAGAAGAAATCTTAATATTCCATTAATTGTATATTTTAAAGGTGTTATCCCATTTCTGGTCAAGGTTATATGAATAATAATATAGTAAAAAAATCTCTTAAAATTAGAAATCTTGACTCAAAGTGTTCAGGCTTTGCTCACAGGTTTGAAATGTTATTTACTGTCATCAGCCAAGAAGAAATCTTAATATTCCATTAATTGTAGATTTTAAAGGTGTTATCCCATTTCTGGTCAAGGTTATATGAATAATAATATAGTAAAAAAATCTCTTAAAATTAGAAATCTTGACTCAAAGTGTTCAGGCTTTGCTCACAGGTTTGAAATGTTATTTACTGTCATCAGCCTAGAAGAAATTCTTAAGATTTCATTAATTGTAGATTTTAAAGGTGTTATCCCATTTCTGGTCAAGGTTATATGAATAATAATATAGTAAAAAAATCTCTTAAAATTAGAAATCTTGACTCAAAGTGTTCAGGCTTTGCTCACAGGTTTGAAATGTTATTTACTGTCATCAGCCTAGAAGAAATCTTAAGATTTCATTAATTGTAGATTTTAAAGGTGTTATCCCATTTCTGGTCAAGGGCAGATGAGTGATGATATAGTTAAAAATCTCTTAAAATTAGAGGGGGCACAGGTGGCCATGTCTGTGCAGAGTTGCGTCCCTTGGATCCGCCAGCAACCTATGATGGTTGGTTCGAATCCCGGTTCACCCCAATAATGCTTCTAGGTTTGTCAGCACCATCACTTTGGGCTTTCCTCCCACATTAAGCTGACACACCGTGATATAACTGGAATAATGTTAAAAGTGGTGTTAAACCCAACTCACTTAAACATTCGAAATATTGACCCATTGCATTCAGATTCTGCTCACAAACTAGAAATGTGCTTTGCTATCAGCAGCCAAGAGAAAATCTTAAGATTCCATAAATTGTAGATTTTAAAGGCGTTATCCCATTTCTGGTCAAGGTTATATGAATAATAATATGGTAGAAAATCTCTTAGAATTAGAAATATTGACCCATTGCATTCAGATTCTGCTCACAAGTTTCAAATGTTATTTACTATCAGTAGTCATGAAGAAATCTTCAGATTCCGTTAACTGTAGATTTTAAAGGTGTTATCCCATTTCTGGTCAAGGTTATATGAATAATAATATAGTAAAAAAATCTCTTAAAATTAGAAATCTTGACTCAAAGTGTTCAGGCTTTGCTCACAGGTTTGAAATGTTATTTACTGTCATCAGCCAAGAAGAAATCTTAATATTCCATTAATTGTAGATTTTAAAGGTGTTATCCCATTTCTGGTCAAGGTTATATGAATAATAATATAGTAAAAAAATCTCTTAAAATTAGAAATCTTGACTTAAAGTGTTCAGGCTTTGCTCACAGGTTTGAAATGTTATTTACTGTCATCAGCCTAGAAGAAATCTTAAGATTTCATTAATTGTAGATTTTAAAGGTGTTATCCCATTTCTGGTCAAGGGCAGATGAGTATTAATATAGTCAAAAATCTCTTAAAATTAGAAATATTGTCCTATTACATTAAGATTCAGTCCACAAGTGTGAAATATTATTTACTATCATCAACCGACAAGAAATCTTTAGATTCCATTAATTGTAGATTTTAAAGGCGTTATCCCATTTCTGGTCAAGGTTATATGAGTAATGATATTGTAGAAAATCTCTTAGAATTAGAAATATTGACCCATTGCATTCAGATTCTGCTCACAAGTTTCAAATGTTATTTACTATCAGTAGTCATGAAGAAATCTTCAGATTCCGTTAACTGAAGATTTTATAGGTGTTATCTCATTTCTGGTCTAGGGGATATGAGTAATAAAATAGCAAAACATCTGTTAAAATTAAAAATATTGGTCAATAGCATTCAGGTTCTGCTC